TGTGGAGAAAAGAGAGCCCTCCTACACTGCTGGTGGGAAAGAAGTTTGGGGCAGCCCTTACGGAAAACAGTATGGAGATTCCTCAAAAGACTAAAAATAGACTTACCCTATGATCTAGTCATCCCACTCCTAGGCATATATCTAGAGGGAACCTTCATTCAAAAAGTTGCATGCACCCCAGTGTTCACAGCAGCACTATTTACAACAGCCAAGACATGGAAACAGTCTAAATGTCCATCAACAAATGACTGGATAAAGAAGATGTGGTATATTTATACAATGGAATACTATTCAGCCATAAAAAGAATAAAATAATGCCATTTGCAGCAACATGGATGGACCTGGAGATCGTCATTGTAAGTGAAGTAAGCCAGAAAGAGAAAGAAAAATGCCATATGATGTCACTCATATGTGAATCTAAAAAAAAAGACAAACTTATTTACAAAACAGAAACAGACTCACAGACATAGAAAACAAACTTACGGTTACTGGTGGGAAAGGGGGTAGGAAAAGATAAATTGGGAGTTTGAGATTTGCAGATACTAACTACTATATATAAAATAAACAGGTTCATATTGTATAGCACAGGGAACTATATTCAACATCTTGTAGTAACTTATGGTGAAAAAATATGAAAATGAATATATGTATGTTCATATGTGACTGAAGCATGTGCTGTACACCACAAATCAACAAAACATTGTGAACTGACTACACTTCAATAAAAATATATATATACAGAAAAATGGATAACCTATGATATTTTACAATGAAACAAATATCTTTTCCTAGCCTGAAATACTTGCTAATTTCAAGAAAAATGAGTGGCTTATTTCTGCTGTTAATGTCATAAGTGTTGGATGCAAATATTACTTGAAAGTCATTAAAAGTTAAAATTATCAAAGACATTTTTATCAGGATTGGCAGTAATACACTGGTACGTTCATGGTTCAAAGTAAAAAATGCGTAATTATCAATGTGAAAACACAAAAGAACATTTTGAATTGGTTACATACAATAAAACAAAACATCTGACACACAGTCTTGGGGATAAAACTTATGGGGGATATTCATAATGCTAATGAAAAACATCATCAAAATCTGCAATTTTTTTACTGCATAAACATAATTGAACATTTCCAGACATGGTGTATTTAATGGAATTTAAAAAAATAATAATATTGATATGGGCACATCATCGCAATCCAAAATTTACAGAATCAACTTTTTGCAAACTACGTATCTGACTGAAATAAGAAAATAAATGTGGGAAAAATTTATTAATTAGGGCAATAAAATTTAAGTCATTACCAACAAAGTACAGAGTCTCACAGCTGAGGTATATTGTATTAGTCTTCTCAGGCTGCCATCGAGAACTTCCGAGTGGCTTAGACGACAGAAATGTGTTGTCTCACTGTCCTGGACGCCGGAAGTCAGATCAGGGAGTCGGCAGATTCAGGTCTGGTGGGAGCCCTGGCCCAGCTGCAGGCGGCTGCCTCCTCGCTGTGTCCCCACGTGGAGAGGGGAGGGGACGTAAGCTGCCTGGTGTCCCCTCGCATAAGGGCACTACTCCCATCAGGGGGCCCCGTCCTCATGATGCCCTCTGATCGCCTCCCAAAGGCCCCACCGCAAACACCATCCCGTGGGGTTAGGGCTTCGAACATGCGAGCTTGCGGGGCACAGTTCAGTCCCTAGAGCACACCTGGGCTGTAAAGACGGGATAATTCCCCGATTGTGTGTGTGTGGGGGGCACTGACCCTTTGGAGGGCAGTTCTCGTCGCTGTGAGGCTGAATGGACACATGCCTGTGACCGGGCAAGTCTGCTCTCAGATGCGTGCAGGAGCCACCAGGAGATGGGGGAGGGCGGCACCGTCCAGAAGACGTAATCCTAGAAGAGAAGTGATGCGCGTGTCCATCCGCAGGAGCATGAGCAGCTGGGGCACCTGCTTGTGACATGCAGGGACACGAATGCACCTCGAAGCGGTAATTTTGTGCTCAAGAAGGCAAGTTGCAAAAAGTTGCACTCCATATGATGCCAAATATATAAAGTAAAAAAAAAAACAAACCCATGCACTACAACGTAGTCATTGTTTATGGCTATATACATATGTGTGTACATTAAATACATGTGTATTTGGATTAACTTCAGTTACATACTGTAATGATCTTGGCTAAAGTTCCATAAAACATACAAGGTGAATGAGGAGAAGGGACATGTACATTCTCTTAAGTCTCTGCATCAAGAAATAATACATGATTGTGCTCTACACCGGAAACTGACACAGCATTGTAAACTGAGTAAAACGCAATAAAATAAAATAGAAAAAGACTCATTATATATAAGCGAAGACAAAAACAAAACAAAACAAATTAATTATATAAATAAAGGAAATCCATAAAGTCTAAAAAAAAGAAATAATATGTGTCTCACCATATATACTCCGTTCTATAAATTTTGATGATTTTCTTCCTTAGTCACAATACATGGCTCTTAGGATTATCTGTAGGTAATTTATTTATCTTTGTTGCTGCTTCCCTGCTGCTATTAATGGACTCTTTCCTTGTGATAAATTATATTCTGTGATTGTTGTGTTATAGAAAAGATATGAATTTTTTGTTCTTTATTCTCATACCTGTGTTATAAGAACTTTAATATGATTCTCTCAGTTTTCAGTACATTGCTTCATTGTCTTCCAGTGGTGATACTTCCATTTTTCTCCTTTTAAATAATTGTACATCTTGTTCCTGTTTTATTCATCTTTTTAACCTTCTGCATTGGCTGAGACGCCCAGAAAAATGCTGAATACTAGTGATAGCGGGCAATTTTGTTTTGTTTTAAGTTAAGGAGAAAATGTCTCTCTAAAGCATGCTATTGTTTGCCACTAAATTAGATTTTTAGATTTCTCAACTCTTTATAACTAGTAGGTATTAAATGGTATAAAATTACTTTGGGGCATTAAGTGAAACATTTTTTAACTAGGTCTTTTCATGTCAATGTATAGCATTCATTATCTTTCAACAGATTATATTTTAAATGCACAGTTTGACCACTAGATGGTGCTGCGCCCCCAACTTTTTGATGCCCTGGCATTAAACCACTGATGTGTTGTTGAAGTTTAAAACGTTCAATTTAACATGACCCTCAAATGAGTGTCGTCCTTTTAATTTTCTCTAAAATGACTCGAAACTAAGATTTTTTTAAAAAGAAAAAACCTATTTATCCCCTTTATTTGGTCAGCTTTACGGAGGGTAAAATTTACACACAATAAAATTTACCATTTTAAGCCTGCAATCCAGGGTTCTAACAAACACGTGGAGCCTTGTAACCACCTCGTGGTCGTTGTGTAGAACATTCCCAGCGCCCTGATAAGCTCCCACACACGTTTTTGGAGTCAGCACCCATCCCTGACCAGCCCCAGGAAACCACCGACCTGCTTTTGTCCGTGGTTGGCTTTTCTGTCCGCGTGCATGTGGCATCGCTCCGTGTGTGATCAGTGGTAGGTCTGGCTTCTTTCCTGCAGCATCGTACCTTTAGAATCCATCCATGTTGTCAGGTGATTCTGTCACTGGTTCCTTTTTATGGGGGAAGAGCATTTTATTGTGCGGATACACGACAGTTTATTATCCATTCACCAGCTGATGTATATTATGACTAAAACTGCTATAAACTTTAAGGTGCAAGTCTTTGTGTTGACATATATTTTCACCTTTCTCAAATGAACACATGGCAGTAAAATTGCTGAGTCAGATGGTTAGTATACGTTTAACTTTGTAAGACGCTGCTTTCTAAACTGTTTTTTCGAAGTGGCTGAATTTTACATTCCTGGCAGGAGTTCAAGAGAATTCCAATCTCTCTCCACATCTTCACTAACACTTGATATTATCAGTCTTTAAGATTCTGATGGGTGTGTAGTTGCATTTCATTGTGGTTTTACTTTGCATTTCCCCAAAGTCTAATGATTTTTTTTAATAAATTTTTTTTTATTGAAGTATAGTCAGTTATACTGTGTCAATTTCTGGTGTACAGCACAGTGTCCCAGTCATGCCTACACATATATATATTCATTTTCATAAAAGATTATAAGATACTGAATATAGTTCTCTGTGCCATACAGAAGAAATTTGTTTTTTAATTTATTTTTTATATAGTGGTTAACATTACAAATCTCAAGCTCCCAAATTTATCCCTTCCCACCTCCTTCCTCCTGGTAACCACAAGATTATTTACTATGTCTGTGAGTCTGTTTCTGTTTTGTAGATGAGTTCATTACTGTCCTCTTTTTCCTTTCTTTCTTTTCTTTTTTTACATTCCACATACAAGTTATATCATATGGTATTTTCTTCTCTCTTTCTGTCTTACTTCACTTAGAATGACAATCTCAGGTCCATTCATGTTGCTGCAAATGGCATTATTTTATTCTTTTTCATGGCTGAGTAGTATTCCATTGCATAAATATACCACAACTTCTTTATTCAGTCATCTGTCGATGGACATTTAGGTTGTTTCCATGTCTTGGCTATTATATACAGGGCTGCTATGAACACTGGGGTGCAGGTGTCATTTTGAAGTAGGGTTCCCTCTGGATATACGCCCAGAAGTGGGATTCCTGGATCATATGGTAAGTCTATTTTTAGTCTTTTGAGGAATCTCCATGCTGTTTTCCATAAAGACTGCACCCTAATGATGTTGAGCATCTGATAACTTCTTTAAAGAATATCCAAACTTTTGCTTCTTTTAAAAAATTGGGTTATCAGAAATTTAGGTTATCTCATTATTGAGTTGTAATGCTCTTTATATATTCTGGATAGAAATCCTTTATATATTCTGCAAATACTTTCTCATAGTCTATGGCTTGCCTTTTCATTTGGCTTAATGGTATCTTTTGATACCAGAGCAAATATTATTAATTTTGATGAAGTCCAATTTACTAATTTTTAAAATATATGGTTCATGCTTTGGGACCCAACTTAAGAAATCTTTGCCCAACTCCAGGTGGCCAGGCTTTTCTCCTATGTTTTCTTCTAAAAGTTTCATAAGTTTAGCTTTTATGTTTAGAGCTACGAGCCATTTCAAATGAGTCTTTCTAAATAGTATGAGGTAGGGGTTGAGTTTAACTCTTTTGTTTTGTTTTGTTTCTGCGTGGGGATAGCCAATTTTTCAGCACCATTTGTTGAAGAGATTTTCATCTCTCTCTTGAATTACCTCGGCGCCTTTCTCAAAAATTAATTGATTCTACATGAGTGGGTCTGTTTCTGAGCTCACCATTTTCCCTCTTCTGATCTATAAGCCGGTTTCCCCTAAGCCTCGATATCGCATTGCCTGGATGACTGTTGATTTACAGTACATCTTACAATCAGGAGTGTGGTCCTAAACCCTGCTCTTCTTTTTTAAAACTGTCTTGGCCGTTCTAAGTCCTTTGTGTTTCTACATACATTTTATAACTAGCTCCTCAGTTTCTTTAAAAAAAAAAGTCTCCTGAGGTTTTGTTTGGGGCAATACCAAATCTATCCACCAATTCCAGGAGAATTGACAGTATAATGATGCAGAGTCATAAGAATGATACAGCTCTCCATTTATTTGGATTTTATGTAATTTTTCTCAAGGTTGTTTAATAGTTTGTACACCTCTTGTTTGATTTAATAATAAAATTACATAAATTTTGTATAAGTGCATCTGAAATAAGTGTCTCATATTCTTTGATATCCTTGTAAATGGAATTTTAAAACCTTCCATTTGCCAATTTTCACCACATTTCTAACACATAGAAAATTCCAAATCACTTTGTGACTCTAGTGTATAAACATACAATGGACCTTTGTGTGTGGACCTTGTGTTCTACAGTCTTGTTACATTCATTTGCTAGTTTTAGCAGCTTTTCATGGATTCCTTAGATCTCTCTGCACAGATTATCATGTCTCTGTGGATAACGCTGGTTTTATCTCTTCCTTTCTGAACTCTAAGCCTTTTATTTATTCTCCTCGCAGGAACCCTGCAGTAGACAGAACAGCGTCCCTCTAAGGACCGGTACATGGTGACCTTTAACTCTGTGAATAAGTCAGCAGACATGGCCAAGGGCACTGAAGTTCGGGGATAGAATTAAGGTTGCTAACCAGCGACTTCAAGAGATTGTTCTAGACTATCCGGTGGACCCCTGTAACCACCGGGGCCCTCATGAGGGAAGAGGTTGGTGAGGAGGGGGTCAGAGTGATGAGTGAGAAGGGTTCAGCCGTGGTTGCTGGCTTTGAAGAAGGAGGAAGGGGCCGCGAGCTGAGAAATGCCCGCAGCTTCTAGAAGCTGGAAAAGGCAAGGAAACAGATTCCCCCCGAGAGCCTCCAGAAGGAGCCAGCCCTGCCCGCACTTTGGCTCTAGCCTGATGAGATCCGTGTCAGACTCCTGCCGGAACTGTAAGATAATAAATACATAGGGTTTTAGGGCACAGAGTGTGTGGTAATTTGTCACAGCGGCCCCAGAAAACCAAACAGCCTCCAATGATGAATAAAAGAGGTGACAGTGGACAGAAGATGCACTTTAAATTCAGTACATCGATTTTTAGAATGATGCTCCTTACAATCACGATTGAAGCGGTGGTCGTTCCCCGGACCCCTGCCGTGAACCGGCTCTGCAGTAAGATGGGCCTGGACCGTCTCACACTAGTCTTGGTGCTTGCTGATCCAGAGCGGAAGGACGTTTTAACTGAAGCCTCCAGCTCAAGGTGATGAGCAGCGTCACTGTCATTTTTGCTTCTCTATTCGGCTAGTTTTGGGTGACATGTACTGTGCGCGTTAGGGATTCCATACCACACCGCCTGAAAACCAGGGCTTCTGATTGATTCTTTTTTTGGGGAAAAAAAAAATGATGGAACCAAATCTACCTTTCATGCTGGCGTCTCTCAGAGGACAGTCCCTGTTCAGCAGGATTTATCTTATTTATTTACTTATTTATTTATTTTACTTTTTAATTGAGACATGGTCAGTTTCCGGCGCACAGCGCAATGTCACACGGATACACATACATTCATTTCCATATTCTTCATCACCGTGAGCTACTACAAGATCTTGGATGCATTTCCCCGTGCTGTACAGTGTGAACTTGTTTATCTATTTTATATATGCCTGTCGGGAGCTGCAAATTTTGAACTCCTGGTCTCTCCCACCCCCCTCCCCGCTGGCAGCCACAAGTCTGTATTCTATGTCTGTGAGTCTGTTTCTGTTTCCTATATAAGTTCATTTCTCTCTTTCTCTCTCTCTCTCTCTCTCTTTTTTTTTGTAGAATTTATCTTGAACGGGTCTCTGAGGTCCTGGGGACGGGGGCCGGCCGAGGGTTAGGGCTGCTATCTCGGAGTCTGCCTGTCGGTTCTTTTCTCTCGCCTGTCTCTCTGTCTCTGTCTCTGGTGACAGATCACAACTTGGCACGTGAGTGCGCAGGAGAGGCTGCCTGGGCGTTCGGCTCTCGCAGCAGGCCTGGCCTCTTTCTGTCCTTTGACACCGAGCTGCCACCGCCCCCCTCGCCCGTCTTCTTTGCCTTCCTTTGCCTCAAGTTTCTCACTGTGGCAGAGTTGTGCTGATTTGTAAGACGCCAGGAAGCATCTCTGGAGGCAAATAGAAAATGAGCGCCTCTACCGTGTACTCTCTGCGCTTAAATGTCCCCAGGCCTGAGGGCTGCTGCAGACCCTCGCAGGACACTCTGCTTGGATGGAGCCCACGGGGGAGCCGGCCCCCAGGACGGCTGGGGCTGCAGCTCACCCAGCGCGTCGTGCTGCATCTGTGCATGGACACCTTGCCTCTGCCCTGGAGGCGCACGGCTCAGACCCGCCACAGTGCAGGCCCTTGGAGAGTGGTCTGTGTGCTCCCCCCACTTCCCAAGGTAGCTGGCGAAGCAGCGGGCTGCTCTGGGAGGTGGGATGCGGGGCTGACACCCCCATCTCCTGCTCCAGCCTGGCCTTGGTGTGACAGAGGCAGGGACACCCAGGAGGCCCTTTCTTACTCCTGCCCCTTGTGAAAGAGGAAGCTTCCACGTTCCTGGGGCCACTGGGAGAGCGTTTCCTTCCTTTGCATTTAGGTGGTTGGGTTTCTGAGAACTGGAGTCTGTCTTTGGACTGTGTTTCTGCACATTGAATGGTGTCTAGCAGATCCTCCTCTCCTCCAGTCTGGGCTTTTCTGCATAGCCAGTGATTCCCCCCATGCACCTGTCATGGTCGAGATTCTGTGGTCTTTCCTGTATCTTCTCAGTGGCGAAATCCCCCATCAGTTCTGCACTGCTGTGTAACAAATGTCCCCAAGCCAAGTGCAGTGAAGCAACAACAACGTCCTGCTCACCACCCCTGTGGGTCTGGGGCTGCTTGGCCGAGTTGGGTGTCCCCTCTCAGGGCTCCTCACAGGGTGGTGGTCACAGTGGCTTGGTCATCTCCACACCCCCCTCCCCACTTCTGGAGGCTCTCGGCTGGAACTTCAGCTGGTGTTGTGGGCCAGAATATGTGGCCTCCCTATGTGGCCTGGGCTCCCCAGCATGGTGACTGGGGTCCCAGGGTGAGCCTTCGGGAGAGCCAGGCTGCCACCTCTTAGGACCTGACCTCAGAAGACGTGCGCGTTCACTTCCGCTGTGTTCTGCTCCTCCGATGCAGGTCACGTGTTTGAGCTGAGGGGTCGAGGCTCCATTTTTGTCTAGAATCTTGGGACATGTTTTAAAACCTCACGAAGTCCTTTAGGGACTGTGTGATTTGCTGGGGCTGCTGTAGTGAAGTACACAGAGTGGGGGGCTTGAACAATGGGGATCTACCCTCTCACAGTTCCAGAGGCAAGAGTCTGAAATGAGGGCGTCGGCAGGGCTGCTTCCTTCTTGGGGGCTCAGCGCAGAATCTTTTCCAGCCTCTGGTGCTCCCAGCCATCCTTGGTCTTCCTTGGCTGGCATCTGTATGACTCCAGTCTCTCCTCCGTCTTCACATGGCCTTCTCCTCTGTGTGTCTGTGTCCAAAGTTCCTCTTCTTACAAGGACGCCGCTTGCTGGATTTAGGGTCCTAAGTTCCAGGTAGCAGGGACTGTGATTTTCCTGCGTGACTAGAAGGACAGCAGAATAGGAACGCCCCTCACAGCACCCCCTGCCGCGGGGAGCCACGCGCCGATGTGCAGAAGGGAGCAGATAGGAGACGCAGGGACTCTCAGGATTTTTCTGCTCCTGGACACCGACCCGTCGGGCCAGCTGACCCCTTTTGGCCCAGTGCACGGCTACATCGCTCACAGCCTTGTGGTGAGGTGTGGACAGGTGGCTAAGTTTGCGCCAACTGAATGCGGGAGCAGAAGTGATGTGGGACCTCAGGCAGAGGGCATGGCAACCCCAGGTGGAGGGGGTACTCTGGGGCCCACACTTTGTGGACTGGTCCCTAACGGCTACATCCACGAGGAGAGACGTTGACAGAGCCAGAATGTAGATCAACTACATTGATCAAGTAACGCTTTCGTTGTAAAACAAGACTTTCTTGATGAAGGAAGCAAGGTGCTGATTCATGCTCTGGTACAAGTTTCTCATCGAGTTTCACACCAGCCACTTTGGGTACCACTGCTGCAGGGGATGGTGGAAAATGACCCAGGACGAACCTGGTCCCACTGGCCTGCTCGCCTGGGAACTGGTGGGACAGAGAAATGAACTCCCAACTTTCAAGCCCCATGGTGTTAGGCCTGCTTGTGACAAAACCACAACCCTTACCCTCATTGACACACTTGTCTAACCAGCATCTCACACCTTTTGATGAACGAACGAAAGATAACCTGGCTTGTCACACTTCTTGTGTGCGTTCAAACAAGAGTTCTTCCAACTGCATGATTTTGGCAACACTCCAAGGTAGTTAAGAGGGTGAGCTTTCTCTTTATAAACGTCGGAGTTCCTAAGAGACTAGACCCTGACTGTTCTCAGCACACACAAAGAGATGGTAATTACGTGAGAAGACAGAGGTGGTAGCCAATGATACTACAGTAATCATATTGCAAAACGTATCAAACCAACGCATTGTGCACCTCCACCTTACGCAGTGCTGTAAGTCATTTATCTCTCAACTTAAAAAAAAAAAAAGAAGAGAGAGAAGATGGGCCCTGAGGCCAGAATGCCGGGTCCAGTCCTGACTAAGTCCTGGGACCTCGGGCATGTCACACAGCTCCATGAGCGTCCCTTTCCCCATCAGCTGGCAATGGCAAGGGTAGGAGTGCCACCTCACTGGGCTGTTATGAAAACACAGTGAGAGTATGGAAATAGAAAGGCCAGCACAGCACGCGATACAGACGTGCTCTGCTGGTGACATCACTTCTGTTACCGGCGCCGTAAATGGTATCAAAAAAGGAAACACCATCACAAGAGGACCTTCTCGGCTCAGGGAGAGTCTATGCCAGGCGGATTCAGGTGAACAAGTGTGAACATTTTAGGGGGATGTGATGGGATTCACAGTTGATGGAACAGGAGGTCCAGGTGCTGCCCTGCAGAGGAGGGGAAGCCCTGGGACCCTGCCGCTCACCCACCTGCTCTGGCCTCGGTTCATGGGCGGACTGGGAGGCTGCGCCCTTGGCTGGCAGCTGTCCGTGGCCCCTCAGGGGCAGGACGACCTTGCTGCTGGGGCAGGGGCTCGAATTAAGAACATATTAAATCTGTAGATTGCTCTGGGCAGTATGGCCCTTTTAACAGCATTAATTCTTCCAATCCAAGAGCATGGGATATCTTTCCATTTCTTTAAATCATCTTTAATTTCCTTAATCAATGTCCTGTAGTTCTCACCATATGAGTCCTTCACCTCCTTGGTCAAGTTTATTCCTGAGTATTTTTTGTTTTGGATGCGGTTCTAAAAGGAATTGATTCTTCCCTTTCCTTTCCTGATGTTTCATTGTTAGTGTGAAGAAATAAAACTAATTTCTGTGTGTTAATCTTGTGTCCTGCTGCCTTGCTGGATTCTTTTCTCGGCTGAAGTAGTTTTGTGTGGAGCCTTTAAGGTTTTCTGTACATAGTATCATGTCGTCCACATATAATGACAATCTTACCCCTTCTCTTCCAGTTTGGATCCCTTTTGTTCCTTTTTCTTGTCTAGTTGCTAAGGCTAGGACCTCCAACACTATGCTGAACAGAGGCAGTGAGGGCGGGCATCCTTGACTTGTTCTAGATTTTAGTGGGAAGGCTTTCCGCTTGTCACTGTTGAGTGTTAAGAGGGTGTGCAGGGTAGGGAGCCTCCTGCACTGTTGGTGAGAATGTAGTTTGTTGCGGCCATTGTGGAAAACAGGAGGGAGATTCCTTAAAAAACTAACAATAGACTTACCATATGATCCAGCAGCCCCACTCCTGGGCTTATATCTAGAAGGAACTCTAATTTGAAGACACCTGCACCCCAATGTTCCTAGCAGCGCTATTTACAACAGCCAAGACATGGAAACAGCCTAAATGTCCACTGACAGATGACTGGATAAAGACGCTGTAGTAAATTTATACAATGGAGTACTACTCAGCCATAAAAAACAATAAAATAATGCCATTTGCAGTAACATGGATGGATCTGGAGATCATCATTCTAAGCGAAGTAAGCCAGACAGAGAAAGAAAAATCCCATATAATATCACTTATATGTGGAATCTAAAAAAAAGGGACACAAATAAACTTATTTACAAAATAGAAACAGATTTACAGATATAGAAAACAAACTTATGGTTACCAAGAGGAAAGCGGGTGGGAAGGGGTAAATTGGGAGTTTGAGATTTGCAGGTACTAACTACTATATATAAAATAGATAGACAACATTTCTTCCATAGAGCACAGGGAACTATATTCAACAGCCTGTAGTCACCTATAACGAAAAAGAATATGAAGATGAATATATGCGTGTATATGCAGGACTGAAGCCTTGCACTGTGCACCAGAAACTGATGCACCATTGGGAACTGACTATACCTCAATTAAAAAAAGAACACATGGAGGCCGGAGCCTTGTGTGTGAGGTGAACTGCTCAGCTGTTCCTGGAGCCCCTCCCTGTTTTCACAAACATGACCCAGAATGTGCACTTTAAAATCTGCCTCCCATCATTTCTGCAGTTCCCGGACACCCAGGCCATTCGGTCCCTGCATCTAAGTCCTGCTCTAGTGGCAGGGTCACCACCTGAGAAGTCTTCTCTGCCAACTGGACTTGATCCTTGGAGCCACCCAGGCTAAGCTGAGGGTGGTGGCCATGGAGGTCTCTGGGCAGATTGTGGCTGGGTCCTCTGTGTGCCCCAGCCCGCCTTTGCTCCTGTCCCTGCCTCGGCGAGTTCAGACATACCTGTGGGCATCAGGGTATAAATAAATGCTTCCCAACATGCTTCTAAAATTTTGAGTTAGTGCTGCTGTTTGAAATTGTACGGGTGTATATTCAGACCAAAATCATGGGACACGCTCTCCAAATACCACACCTCTTGAGCTAAGGGGAGAATTCCTAAGTAAGTCGTACAAGTCAGGGTGGAGAGAACCCTTGTTGACACCTTCTGGGATTTAAGAAATAATCAAGAAGGTGCCAGACTGGTCTTTGTCTCCAATATCCATGAAGTCTGCAAAAGCTCCCCCTCCCCCTGCGTTAGTTGAGCAGTGGAGTGACCATGCAGTCAGCCCCAGCCCCGGGGGGAGTGGACAGCTGGCCTCAGCCTCAGATTGTCCCCTGGGTGTGACCTGAGCAGCTGCCACAGAGGCAGCCTGCCAGGGGTCACCACATTAATTCTGCTTAGTTGAGCCCAATTTCCAGCAGTAAAAGTTCCATCGGAGCGTGTGCGGTGCGTGGGGTGAGGGGCGATGCTGCAGTGGTGACATCTGTGTCCGGGGCCCAGGCGGGGCCGGCTCGGCTCCCTTTTTCCCCGGGCGCACTTTCTGCACAAGCCTCAGCCTGCAGACCGGCACGGGGTCTCGGGTTGAGCTCCAGGCTGGCTGAGCCTGTCTGAACTGAGGTCTGAGGTCCTGCCCCTGGGGGAGGGAAGGCCTCCAACCCTGCATGGCGTCTCCTCCCAGGCTTTCCCGGTCCTGGTGGTGACCAACTGCACAAGGGAGGGCAGTGGCCATGGGGGCCCAGCACGGGGGGTACGTCACCTTGCAGAGCGACCTTGGGCTTGGTGTGTGTCCCCATCACCCACCTGCTATCAGCTCAACCGAAATGCCCCTAAAATTTACACACCCTTTTTGTTGTTGTTTAGGTCTAGTCGACTTACAATGTTGTGTTAGTTTCTGGTTACAGCGTAGTGATTCGGTTATAGATATAAATACACATATGTTGCTCCGCAGAGGACATGACATCACCACCTGCATCCCCTGAATTGAATCATGAGGAAATATCAGGCGGACCCAAGTCACGGGACAGTCTGCGACATCAGGGGCTGAACTCTTAAGATGCTGATGTCAAATAACAACCATGTCATGAAATGGAGTCAGGAAGGACTTCAGATTGGAGGAGACAGATGAGACGTGATAAGTGACTGTGCTGTAGCCTTGGGATTCCTTTGCCATGGAGGACATCGTTGGGACAAGAGACATCGTTGGGACAGCCGACATCATTGGCACAACTGACTGCATCGCACTATGGTGCATACATTAGATAGCAGCTCCAGCCCCACCAATGTCAATTTTCTGGTTGTTATTATTTCGCTATGGTTTATGGAATGAGGAGAATATCCTTGTTTTCAGGAAATATACACCGAGCTAGATAGTGGCAAAGAGGCACTGTGCCTGAGGCTTACTCTCCATTGGTTCTGAAAAATCTGTGTATTTGAGGAAGAGAGAAAAGGTTAAAACACCTGCCGTGAAGCGGGGCATTGGGTGGAGGATCCCCAGGAATACTTGGTGGTGCTCTGCTTGCAACTTTCTTATGTCTTAAGTTGTGTCGAGATTAAAAAATATTAAAAGAATCTCCAAAACACAGTGACCGGAGACAGCTTACATCTCACTCCGTCATGACCATCTGGGTCTACACGGTCAGGTGGGGAGCCAAGGCTGTCCCTAGGTCCCCACTTGCATGGGTCACCACCACAACCACAGGAAGGAAAAAAACTGAAGTCGACAGAGAGCAACTCCTGTTTGGGCAAGTGGCATGGAAGTTCACCCTCTCTGGTGGGAGCTGGGTCAGGTGATCAAGGGAGATGGGGAATGCAGCGTCCACCGGGGCGCAAAGGCGAAACCTATTCCGTGGAATAAAGAGGAGTGGACTCGAGGGGGCGAGCAGCCTGTCACCTTGCCCTCTCTGCAGTTCAGAGGTCGTCTGGCAAATGGCCATGGCCTTGATGAGTCCTTCAATTGTGTATCCAGGTCAGATGTCCCACATCCACCACTGCGCTGCGGTGGCTGCCCCCAGGTGCCTCAGACGCCCCGCACCCGTCATCGTCCAGCACAGCTCTCCACACGGAGTTCGCCCTTCCCGTCCTCAGCCTGCGCGACACCGCGCAGCTCACAGCGCCCTCCTGGCGTCCTGCTGCCTGGAAGGCGGGGCAGTCCTTGGCCTGGCTCACGTCCGTCACCCTTGGCCAGTGTCTCGGGCAGCGCATCACACACCTGCACGGCACGGGCGCCACCCCGAGTTCGCAGTCTGTGGGGCTCAGCAGGGCTTGCGGCTGCGCACTTCTGACAAGCTCCTGGGGGCAGACGGTCCTGCGGGCCTGGGGATGGAGCTGGGTGCTTTGGAGATGAAGGGGCAGCCCTGCTGTTCCTCCCGAGGGTGCGGTCACAGATGGAGGTGGCTGAGCCAGGGCTGCCCCAGCCCGGGGCTAACCCTTGTACTGGGACGGGCGTCTTGGTGGGGGCGGGGTCCATGCCCATGGTGGGGGGCGGGGTCCGCGTCCATGGTGGGGGCGGGGTCCATGCCCAGAATTGGCAGGATGTTAGAGACAGTTGCACTGTA